TATTTATTCTAACGCTCAATTCTGCATGATTTCTAATCATCTTGCTATTTTTCTTGTAGTCGGCGTCACATGGTGGCCAGCCTTGCTCCATCTTCAAGGCATTTGCTATGGCCCACAAGGGTAAGGCGACGTCCGACGTCGACTACAACCCGGAGGACGGGCCCGAGGTGTACAGCAATGCGACCGTCCACAACCGCCTCAGTGAGTACACATCGATGGCAAGGGAGGTCCATGGGTCACAGTACGATCCGAGCACCGAGGACCTTGATGGAGAAGTCGTCATGAGGGTGGGAGGAGGCAAGAAGCATGGGCGGTACTGGATTGGCAACGGCGCAATCGACTCGGCCGCTACTCCCAGTCTCTCCCAGATTTGAGGAAGCAGCACGAGCAGGAGCCCGGCCATATGACCTCGGCAGGACACTTCACACCACCGGGTGGAGGCACTCGAGGTTATTCCTGGTTTATTCATCGTTCATTGGTTTTTTCATACCTTTCCTTTGCATTATTGTAGCATTGGGGTGAATGTATTGTAGGCCCAGCTGGAACAAGAGAGGAGGATACGGGAGCAGATGCAGGCGAAGATGGAGAGGGTGGAGGCCGAGTGGGAGGCCGAGCGGGAGGCCGAGCAGCGTAGGATGGCAGAGATTCTTCAGTACATGCAAAGTCTTGGCGCCGCTACGGGTGTAGTTCCACCACCTTCGCTATTCGCTCCACCTCCTCGCTATTCTACTCCTGTGAGTATAAATGTTTTAGTTTGTATGTTCATGCTTACGGTCAAACCTAGTGGAGTATGAAAGTTTTATTCATGTATGGTATATATTTATCTTGTCTCACACATGCAATCTCTTCTCCTGTGTGCAGAATCAATCGGCGGCATCGGACGATCCTCATGCTTCAGCAAATCCTTCACCAAATCAGTGATGATACTTGTGGTTGTTAATGGTACTTCTATTTGCAATTGTGGTTGAAGATGATGGAGCACTTGGATTACTTGTGAACTTATTTATGATATATTGTGAGACATGTGACGTTTGTGATATATAGTGGTGTTGGTGATATATATGTGCTGTTGATGATATATATGTGATGTTGACGATGTTTGTTATATATATCTTCTGTTTGTTTGGATGGGATGTAAAAAACAAATAAAAAAGCTATTTTCAGTCACTTTGCCGAGTGCAATGGCCATCACACTCGACAAAGTGACTACCTGGGAACATGCTTTGCCGAGTGCCACGGGCCAGGCACTCGGCAAACATCACATGCTTTGCCGAGTGTCTTGCCGGTGGCACTCGGCACAGTTCCACCTTTGCCGAGTGTCTAAGTCAACGGCGCTCGGCAAAGCGGGGACATTTGCCTAGTGCTTGACCTTGACACTCGACAAAGCTGCCGTCACGGTGGCGCTGGCCGTCACGGCCACTTTTCTTTGCCGAGTGTCGGATTGGCACTCGGCAAAGTCTTTGCCGAGTGCCCGATAAAGTGCATTCGACAAAGAGATCTTTACCGATAAACTATTTACCGAGCGCCCTTTGCCGAGTATATATCGGGGCACTCGGCAAAGAAGCCGCCTCCAGTAGTGAACTGAAGGTCCTGTTTGAGAACTCCCACAGATTCCTGCAGAAAGCAACTAACCAACCCGTTCTTATTTTATGAAACAATCTTGCAGAACCCCATCAAATTCTCGGGTTTCAAACAGGCCACAAACTACAAGCACTACGCAAACAACAAATGAATAGCATCAGCCAATTTATCCTCAAATAAATAGCCACTAAACAAGCAGAAATTGTTCATGATCGAACCATATGAGTATTTGCACATTCCAATCGGCCGTGCGGATCTCCTTTGCAGGCACCCATAAGATGACCAGGCAAGCCTAGCCAGTTATGGTATTAGAAGGACAAGAACTACCATAAAAAGAAACGGAAAAGAGCCCCAAAAGAGTGTAGCAGGTCGCAATAGCAGGCAGCAGTAGCCTATAGCACAGACGCCACACCACACGCAATCGCCATCGCCCGGCCCAGGCGCAGTCCATGGCCCTTCGAACCAACCCACTCAGCCATCCCTGACCCGCAGCAACAGTACGTTGATTCCCCGCGAGGACGACAGAAACTGACATGACTCACCGCATCGATCACACCACCGAGACCCCAAGAACAAGAATGAGCAAGATGAAGAACATCTGATCTCATCTCACACTGGATGCAAAGAAATATAAACTCAGAATTCTAAAAAAAGAAATCTAAACTCAAAGTCAGAGAGCACGAAGCTGGTAGCACTACCAAAAACAGCAGATTTGTCGAGTACAAAAATATTTACCGAGTATATTCTATCGGACACTCGGCAAACAAGCTCTTTACCGAGTGCTGCAAAAAACACACTCGGCAAAATAATGGCACTCGGCGAACAAATTCTTTGCCGAGTGCTGGAAAAAAAACACTCGGTAAACTAGAAAAAAAAACACTTGGCAAAACAGAGACACTCGGCAACAAACCGCCACGTGGACATCTGTCAGTTAGTGTGCCGGCTGTTAGGAGTTTACCGAGTATCCGTTAGTGGCACTTGGTAAAGAAATAAGTTTGCCGAGTGTTTTTTTTGGCACTCAGCAAATAAATAAGTTTTTTTCTCTTCTGATCTTGAAACCTTTTCTACTCTTCACATACAACATGTGGTACTCCATGTTAAGATTTGGTATATTTCTGGATCCGTTTGCTATATTTAATTAATTTATTGTATTTCAAGAAATTTTTTGATATAAGTCAAATTTGAACTCCATGTGATTCAAATAATAGAATAAAATGAGTAGAAAAATGGTATTCATGTTATTGAGTCCAGTGTGAGACCTTACCTAGGAAATGAAAAGAAATTTTGAACATCTTGTTCAGGAAACACGACCACGAACGTGTGGCCAAATGATTTTTAAATTCTAAAAAAACAAACGAAGTCTGAAAATCATGAGATTTGTCAAGATCTTTTGATATCATACGTGGAGCCTGTGGTAAAAAAATGAGAAGGTTTCGCACAATCTGTAATGTTAGATGTTTACAAACCGAAGTATCTCAGAAGAAGAATTGTAGCGTTGAAAAGCATTTGGTAAGATTTAGAGTCAAAGTGACGGTCGAATTGGGGTTTGACTTCAAAACTTTTTGTATAGGCAATAGAGAACAAATATTGATTCATGTGTAAATCTAGTAATTTTTTGGATGCCTTTGATAATTTTAATTTATTAAGTGTAATTATAGAATTTTAATTGATATAAATTGAATTTGAGCTGTAACTACATAAAATAATGGAATAATATTCCTATAAAAATCAAATATATATTGTTGAGTGAATTTGACATGATATTTTCAAAGTACATCGGAACAAATTTAGAAAAACACATTGCGGAAAAGGAGAAGAAAAATGAAAAAAAAAAAATGGTTTGCCGAGTGCCCCTTATCTGGCACTCGGCGAATCTGCGATTTGCCAAGTGTCAAACCTAGGACACTCGACAAACCCCATAACCTGGCCTCCACAATTTTGCTTTTCGCCATGTTAACGATTCGTGTCTCCAAAATGGATCTCTCCCGTTGGCCCAAACTCCTCTCCCTGATCCCTCCCCTCTTATCCCTTCCCTCTCCCCCCACTCTCCTTATCCATTCCTCCCACCATCTTCCAACCTGCGACAGGACTCAGGAGGGCGGCCAGCTCCTCGGCGTGGGCGACCGGGGCACGCGGGCGACGGGCGGTGGTCGACGCGGCACTCCGCTTGCCGTGGCGGGCTGGCCGGCGCGGGTGGACCAGGGCACACGGGTGACGGGCGAGGCGACGCGGCACTCCAGCGCCCGTGGCAAGCGTGGGCGCGGGTCGGCCGGGGCACGCGGGCGACACGACGCCGCACTCCCACAGCCGTGGCGTTGGGCGGCGCAGCGGTGGGAGAGGCGACCGGGGCAGCGCGGGCGACGAGCGACCAGGTGTCGCGTCACGACGTCGGGCGACGGCACGTCGGGCTAGGCTTTTTTTTATTTTCACAAAAATATATGCTGAGTGTCAGGGCTTGGACACTCAGCAAAAACAAGCATATTTATCGAGTGTCAGGGCCGGGGCACTCGGCAACACAAGGTCATGTTTGCCGAGTGCCGAGGTTGCTAGACACTCGGCAAACACGCCGTTACCTTTTTTTTGCCGAGCGTTAGTTTCAGCACTCGGCAACGTCTTTACCGAGTGCCCAATAAAAAAACACTCGACAAATAAACTTTTGCCGTCATTGTGTACACCGTGTGCTATTTGCCGATTGTAACACTCGTCAAAACCTTTGCCGAGTGTTTTTTGAGGTTCGCCGTGTGCCTTGATACACGGCAAAGATCCTGTTTCGGGTAGCGTAGATCAACAGCAAGCTAGAAATCAGCTGGCTGATTAAAATCCCAAAGTTAATTAAGAAAGGACAAGCAAGCTGCTAGGCAAGCATATCATCATAGGAAGTTCACAACTGAAGTTCACAACTGCAGCTGGAGGCATTAGCAGTAGTCCAGTAGTAGCAGCAAATAGTAGTCACCAATTAAAGCTGGGAAATGATCAGATCCAGAACTGACGTATGTCCTGTTCGTTTCGCTGCTGCCATAATTGAAAATACTATTGATTAATTTATTATAAAAAAAATATTGTTCGTCGACGAAAACATATAGCTTATAAGCCTAAGCGAACAGGACAACAGTAGTTCCAGTACGTAGCAATTCCGGCAGCAAAGCATATGAAAGCACAACGGGCTAATAGCTAATTTGCAGCAGCAGCAGCAGCAGTTGTACTAGCAGTAGTGGCAGCTAAACTATAGCTACAGATCGATAGTAGCAAGAAGCCAAGAACTAGATATATAGAGGCGATAGATGGGTACTCCACATAGTAGTCGATGACAGGAGCTTCAGCTAGCTAGAGAGACCGACCGACCAAGAAGATGATCGACTAGTAGTGCATGTGGTAGTAGCATACGTGGGGCCGGGAGCTCCGGCCGGCCGGGCGGCCATTCAAGCCGCTGCGCCGGGCGGTGGTGGCGGCGGCATCTGGTGCTCGTAGTGGTGGTGTCCGTTGCCGTCGTGGGAGGAGGAGATGACGGCGGCGGGGACGGGGTGCGCCGGGGCCTTCTTGCGCTTCTTCTTCTCGTAGCTGACGCCCCGGGCGCGGGACTGATGGTCGCGGACCTCGCGGAGGTAGAGCCTGACGGCGCGCGCGCCGAAGGGGTTGTTCTCGGGCCGCCCCCCGTTCTCCTCGTAGGCGGCGCGTAGCCGGCCCACAAGCGCGTCGAGGCTGCCCCACGCCTGGCGGAGCGGGCACGGGCAGGGTGCCGGCGGCGCCGGGTGGCCGAAGAAGGGGCAGGCTGGGGTGTGCACCTTGGTCTTGCCGAACTGGTCGAGGTAGCGCAGGAACTCGAGCACGTGCGCGCCGCTGCAGCGCGCCAGGGACAGCGGCGGGCGGTGGTTCCGCAGGTACTGCCCGAACGTGTTCCAGTCCCGGCGCTTCTGCGACTCGTACCGGCTCGGCGACGCCAGCGCCGACACCGCGCCCGCGGACGACGCCCCCGGCAACGACAGCGCCCCGGACGCCGAGCCCCCGCCGCCGCCGCCGCCGCTGTTGTCGGAGTGCGGGCTGTCCGGGTGCGGCACCAGGTCCATCTGACAAGTAAGCAACCAAGAGGCGACCAACGAACGATCAGCAAGCGAGAGCGAGCTTCAGAGCAAAGCAACTGAGACGAGATCTATCTATTTCGGAGTCGGTGCCCGCGCGCGCGCCGTGGTCCTGTGAGAGAGAAGAGCGAGAGCGCCGCACGCGGGGGAGGGGCGGGGCGCTATAAATAGTGTTCGCGACCACCACTACTACTGGTACAGCACTTGCCTCGCTTCACTTCACTTCACTTCACTTGGCTCCCGCCCTCTTCGTTCTCCTCGCTCGAGAGCTAGCTAGCCCCCCGGCCGGCCGGACAGCCAGCCCGCGGCACCAGGCTAGCGCCGCCTCCAAGATCGCCGGACAGATCGCTCGGTCACGGCAACGGCGGCATGCCTCGGCGCTGAGCTTGGGGAGGAGAGGAGGGGAGGAGCGGATGCAAGGGAGGGGGTGGGTATTAATTGGCGGCGAGATTGGAGGAGGGGAGGGGCTGGCACAGTGCAGGGGTGAGGGGAGGAGACAGTATGCAGTGAAAGGTGATGTGACGGGAGAAAAAGAAAGGTTTTTAGCGATGGTAGGGGCGGTGACAAGTGAAATATCATTGGTACGGACTGGGGCTTTTAAAATCAACAGCTCCGCTCCACTGGCGCGCGGGGCGCGGGGCGGCGCCGGCGGCCGGGGGTGGTGAAGAGACGAGACATGGAGGAACGAACGCGTGTGGCGGATGCCGCCGGCGCGGGAGGGGAAGCTGCTCACCGGTGTTGGTAGTGGTTCTTGGTTGTGAGGGCCGCCGACTGGGATTGTCGGTGTAGGATGCTGGGTGCTCTGCAGCTCTTGTTTAATTTTGACCGAAATCGCGTCGGTTACCGAGAACCATCCGGGCTTACGCGACATCTCCTGGTTCATATGTTTGTGCTTTTGTGTCCCGTGTGTTTATGGTAGTACTTTTTCTACGAGGGAATAATTTTTTTCTTTCGTAACAAATCATTACACAGTATTCGTTAGTTTGTCTTTTTAGCAAAGCGAACATGAATGTCTTGTGTGTTGATATGCCCCAGGAATAAATTGCTTACTAGTACTCTCCTCCTCCAAAAGAATACAATTCTAAATTTAGAATAAGTCACCTTTTAAATTCAACCAAATTTATACTTAGTTCATTCTAGATTATAAGTCACTTTAATTTTTTAGATACATATCTTTTTGCTATACATTAAGATATATGATGTCTAGATATATAATAAAATTTATCGATCTATGAAAGATAAAACGACTTACAATACAATTTAGAGGGGAATATAAAATAATATTAATTTTTATGCCTCAAATAATTTTACTATGAAAATATATTTCATAATAGATTCAATAATTCATTCAGAATCATAAATGTTACATAGATTTGAAAAACTTAGAATTGTTTGCCTTATTGGAAAACGATATTTTTTTTAACAGAGGAAGAACCAACAATGTTTCCCTGAAACATGATTCTATGGATTTGCAAGCTTGTTCCCTTATAATTTGTATCGCCCATCACTTACTGAAATATATAGCAACTAGAGTGGTTTTAGTTTGTTTTGTTTTTAAGAAAGAAGAGATCAATTCCACTTAGTGTTTTTTTCTTTTCTCAAAGAGAGAAAGAGAAGAGAAAGTCCACTACTGCTCCAAACTGAATTGAGAGCAAATTAAAGATTGGGGACTATGGTTCAACTTGCATAATATTGCAAGAGAATAGGGCAATGCAAAAGGTGAGTAAAGTAGAAGGGCTCTATTTGGACACATCAAGTATATTACACTAGGTGGCAGGAGCCCGGGCCCTAGATCCTCCCATGCTAAAAGGCACGGTTCTTGATGCAACCAATACTCCAACATTGTACCCACATACATCCCTGAAAGCATCTAGGCCCCTATTTGGTTTTGGTGATTAATGACAATACGATATTACTGTGACTAATATGTGTTTTGCAGATGCAATTAAGTTATGTCATAGTAATGACAATTGATTGGGCAATTATGGTTGTTATGCCCCTATGATGGAAATCGTTTCGGTTTTCAAAGGATGGACGATAAGGTTAATGATGTACTAGTTCTAAGTGTCGTTTGGTGTTGAAGAGACACTTAGAGTAGTTTAGGACCTTATTTTTCCTTTGGCCGTACAATTAAGGGGGTATCGACGGGTAGCTTGACCTAGGTGAGTCTAGTGGGTTAGGTGTGGTGCACACTTATCAAATCTAGCACTAGGTAGCTCCTAAGTATCGTTAAGATCAATTGGAGCAAACTTCATTCACATATGATTGCGAGTTTGAAGTGAGTGGAGGGTTAAATGTTGACCGGATGCTGGTTCCGGTGTCACCGGACGCTGGCGCAGAGTCCAGTCAGTTCATTTGATCAAGGTGAAGTGGTCTGGATGCGACCGGACGCAGAGTGAAATGTGACCGGACGCTGGGTGCCAGAGTCCGATCAACTCCAGTAAGGTTCCAAAGAGGAGAATCTGATTGACGCGCGTCCGTCGATCTTTGACGCACGCTGGTCGAGTTCCGCCATTGACCGGACGCCGAAAGAACAAAGTGACCGGACGCTGGGTTCCAGAGTCCGGTCAACATCAGTAAGGTTCCAGAGGGTAGTTTTCGTGACCGGGCGCGTCCGGTCAGTGCTGATCGGACGTTGGTCAGTGTCCAGTCACAACTTAACTGCTCGGTTGCGGGGAGAGCTGACCGTGCATCCGGTCACCTTGACCGGAGCGTCCGGTCACCCCGCAGTGGCACATAACGGTTCGTTTTGAATGAGGGTGTATAAATACTTCCTCTATTCACTTGAGGGATTACTTTTGCTCATGTCAACAGCTGAGAAACACCCTTGAGAGTGCCAAGGAGAGCAAGGTCCTAGTGAGGTGATTGAGATTTGAGAATCCAAGAGAGAGGCCTCATTAGTGAAAGCAAGAGTAGCAAAGTGTGCATCCACCCTTCTCATTAGGCTTGTCGTGATCAAGTGAGAGTTCGTGCTTGTTACTCTTGGTGATCGCTATCACCTAGACGGCTTGGTGGTGATTGGGAGTTTGGTGATCATTCGGCTGAGCTTGTAGATGACCCAACTCAAGTTGTGAGTGGTTGTGGGTGATTCACCGCAACGGAGTGTCGAAGAATCAACCCGTAGAGAGCATTTGATCCTTGCGCGGATCAAGGGAGAGCTACACCCTTGCATGGGTGCTCCAACGAGGACTAGTGGGGAGCCGCGTTCCTCCTTCTCTCTTTATTTTAAGTATTTACTTTGAGCAATTTAATTCTTGTCTTTACATTCATAGAATTGCCATGCTAGAGTAGCATTGGAACTTAGGTTGCAAAATTTTTGTGCGGTAGAACATTAGAAACACATTGTAGGCACAAGGGGTGAAGTGGGCTAAGTGTAGAGTTTAATTATTGCAAAGAATTTTAGAATTAGTCCAATTCACACCCCTCTTGAGCATCTTGATCCTTTCAATCCCAAACCGAGAGAAGAGCATAGTGACACACACTAAGATGTCAAAGCCAACAAGTTTAGGCAACCAAAACAAAATCTAATTAAAACCATGTTGATTTTGCACAACCTTTGCCATTAAGACATAGCTACAAAAGAAAACACCGCACCTAGTAATACGCAATAAAAATATGAAACCTTGAATCCGTGACGATACTTAAGGAGAGAAATAATACCCACAAATATTATCATCGATCCAATTCAATAATCAGATCAAGGGTTTTGCCAAGCCCAAGGATGGCACTGCACCACTATACAGAAGGCCAACAAATGCATCTCAAAAACCATGGCCACAGCATCATCAGCTCCAATACGAATCATCCTAATAATAAAAAAATGGTTAAAGCATTTGAACCAAGCCCAAAATCGTTACTTTGTTTAGCTTGGACGTGACACTAAAGTTGTAGTTGAATATGCATATATGTAAAACTTCCAGCCTCTATATCAACAAGATGTCAATGATAATTGTAACTTTCTCTGTCCTTAAATATAAGGATTCAAGTAATTTTGGAACCAAAGAGTCGGGCAAAAGTCTAACTTGCCTCTCACTAATTAGTTTGTTTGGTTACTAGCTTACTTAATTTTCTAGTAAGACATACTTTAAAAAGTATAAGGCATACATATTATTGATTATGACTACGAATTACATGAGTTATTTTGGACAAGTTTGTGTTTAAAAGACATTGTTTGATGCATGCATGGATGTGGTTTAAAAGACAATCACTCAAAGGATTGAGCAATCTATAATACTTCTATAATTTAAAAATAATAAACCTTCGATATCTTAGATTTTATAATTGATGGAGTAGCTACTCACCACCGTGACATGTATATATATGTTCCAAGCTCCTTCCTAAATATTCCATCCACCAGTCTACCAAGGCGCGGAGTAAAAGTCTCTTGAACCAACAAAAACTCCAATCCACATCCAAATTGGTAGAACATGGTAACATGTCAAAGTCAACTACCTAGCCACCGACCGACCAAAACAAAATGCAAGAACCACATTGACTATGCACAAAGCAACTCGCACTAGTGCACCACCCCTTTTAGCCATAGTGGAACAAATACGATGACTTCTTGCTTGACTACGCTTTCAAGGAAGAAAACGGCTCGCACAGATAATAACATCATCGCCTAATCCGATTTTGTACCAAGGATGGCACGTACAACTACACGCCTCACGGAAAGCCGGCAAGTCCATGGCACACAACATCATCAATAATCAAAGATGATTCTAAAAAAGCGAAGGAACCAATGCCCAAATTGCTTACGAGCTCACTATTTCCGCTTGTTTGACATGACACTAAGGTTGCTTGTATCTCATGTGTGGACTTGCGAGAATCAAGTATGTACAATATAATTCAAGGCTTCGTCCCAAACATGAAAACTTTTCCTCAAACCTATATTTATGCTACTAAGGGACCTATATTTGGAAAGCAAGCATTTCACATGAATTATACTGAAACTTTACCGGAATCCATTCATTTTCATAGGTAGAAAA